AAAAAAAAAAAAAAAAAAAAAAAAAAAAAAAAAAAAAAAAAAAAAATTGTACTATGTACATTTAAGGGGTACAATATGGTGTTTTTTATATATGTATATGTTGTGAAATGATTACCACAATCAAGCTGATTAACATATCCATCACCTCACATAGTTACCCTTTGTGTGTGTGGTGAGAACACTTGAAATCTACTCTTAGCAAATTTCAAATATACATTATTAACTATAGTTACCATTCTGTACATTAGGTCTTCAGAACTTACAACTGAAATTGTGTCCTTTGCCCAAAATCCACCCCATTTTTTCTACCCCCAGCCCCTGGCAGTCACATTTCTACTCTGTTTCCATGAGTTTGACTTATTTAGATTCCACGTATAAGATAGATCATGCTGTACTTGTCTTTCTGTGTCTGGTTTGTTTCCTTAGGGCTAAATAATATTCCATTATGTATATACCACATGTTCTTTATTAATTTATATGTTGAGGGACACTTGGGTTATTTCCATATCTTGTTTTAATCTTTTATTTATTGTGAGCAATGCTACTATAAGCATTAGTGTACAGGTTTTGTGTGGATGTATGTTTCCAATTCTCTCCAGTGTGTAGATAAGAATGGAATTGCTGAGTCATATGGTGACTCTGTTTAATCATTTGAGGAACGCCAGACTGTTTTCCAAAGCACTGCACCATTTTGCCTTCCCAACAGCAATGTGTGGGGGTTCCAGTTTTTCCACATCCTCAATAGCACTTGTTATTGTCTTAACATTTTGGGGGGGGCAGCAGGTAAGGGCATCTGAACCCTTGACCTTGGTGTTATAACACTATGCTCTAACCAGTTGAGCTAACCTGTCAGTCCTTGTCTGTCTCTGATTCTAGCCATCCTAGTGGGTATGAAACAGTATCTCATTTTGATTTGCGTTTCCCTGATGACTAGTGATGTTGAACATTTTTGTGCTTATTGGCTATTTGTGTATCTTCCATGCAGAAACGACTGTTCAGATACTTTGCTCATTTTTTAATTGGGTTATTTGTGTTTTTATTATTGAGAAGTAAGAGTTCTTTGTATATTCTAGTATAAGTCCCTTATCAGATACATGATTTGCATATATTCCCATTCTGTGGCTTGTTCACTTTTTTTGATGATCTTTCAAACACAAAGGTTTTAATTTTGATGAACTCCAATTTATTTATTTTTTCTTTTGTTGCTCATGCTTTACCAAAAAGATAATCCTTTGCCAAATTGAAAGTCATGAAGATTTACTTCTATGTTTTCTTCTAAGAGTTTTGTAATTTTATTTTATATTATTTTTCTTTCCTTTTTTTTGAGACATAATTGATCCTACATATTGGGGGGGGGGTACAGAGTTGACTATCGGTACTTGTGTACAATATGTGATGATCAAATCAAGAAAATTAGCATTCATTGTTACAAAACATAATCATTCTTTGTGTCCATTATTTCTCACTAGTCCCCCTCCCCCCAAGTTTTGTAATTTTAGCTCTGACATTTAGGTCTTTGATCCATTTTGAGTTAATTTTTGTATGTGGGGTGAAGTAAGGGTCTAACTTCATTATTTTGCATGTGACAGTTTTGATCAAGGACTGAAGTATTTAAACTTAAAATTTTAAAAGTGGAGCAGGTTTACTTTAAAAAATAAATGTGTGGCATTTCCAGGTAAGACTGCTTTGTAGTGTAGCTATGGAAATGGATGCCTCAGTCTTCAAGTTAGTGACAAGGTGGGCCCAGGCAGAGGCATAGGTGATAGATAGGAGTCTCAGGAGCAGGGATTTTAAATGAGGCTGGAGGAGTTAGATCTGGAAGACACTTTGAGAATGAGAGGGAGACCAACTCCATCTCTTACTCCGAAATATGTGGGTAATGGAAGAATGAACTAAAACACCTCTGTATGAGAATTCTTCAAGGGAAGCAGTTGCTTCAGGGGAGAGCTAGTAAGAGTTGGACAGAGAGTTCACTGAAGTAGATGATGTAGGGGAGTTTGTCTCCTCTGGAAAAGGATTTTGATGAAGCCCTTAGCAAAAGCAGTATGACTCTAGAGTAGCATGTTCGCCTTCAGTTAAACCAGGCTTTGACTGATTTGGAGCCTCCTCGGTACTGTGCTATTTGTATTTTCCTATTCTGCCCTAGAAACAAAATGAGTTTTTCATTTGGTGTAAAAAAGTTTCCTGATTTGACATTTCACCACAGACTAGAGGGGGTGAAGCATAAAACAAAGTTTGCTCATTAATCGTGCTAATACTATTTTAAGATGTTTGAATTCAATCAGTATTTGTAGGGGGTGGGGAGGGGTGCTAATGAATTAAAGGTATATATACACACCAGGCAAGTTCTTGTAATTTCTGTTTCAAAACCTGTAGGGAAGGGCCGGCCCCGTGGCACACTCGGGAGAGTGCGGTGCTGGGAGCGCAGCGATGCTCCTGCCGCGGGGCTCCTGCCGCGGGTTCAGATCCTATATAGGAATGGCCGGTGCGCTCACTGGCTGAGCGCGGTGCAGGTGACACCACACCAAGGGTTGTGATCCCCTTACCGGTCACGAAAAAGACAAAAAAAAAAAAAAACTGTAGGGAACGTAAAATCAAGGAAAGAACTGAATGGTTACCATCCATCCATCTCCATTTAAGAGGAGGGAAGACTTCATGTAATTGAGGGAAATGGGAAGAATCAAGGGTGCTTGGTTGTTAAAAAGCTGTAGGTAAAGGCTTGATTTTCATAGTATGGGTGTAGTCAAGCAGTCTCCCACAATTCTCTGTTGTCTTTCTGGGAATCCTAACCCCAGACACCTCAAGGCCAAAATACCCAGATGTTGAGCAGGGAAGAATGGGGAAGAGGGATTGGCTTGTCCAGGCCAATCAGGCAGACTCAGCTGTATTTGAAGAAAGGGCAGAAACTTAGAGCTTGATCGTCTCACTTAATCAGGAATCTCATATTGACTTTCTTTGACTAGGTTCTTGGGTCCAGCCTGGGTCTGGAGTGAGAGGGCAGTCTGGTTCAGGTCAAGTGTCAGACCCAGTAGGAGTAAGAGACCAATATACATATATCTGCCAGGTGATAGAGGTAATCCATCAGTGGGGACTAGACCACCTTCACTTAAACCCATTTTTCTGTGTCCTCATAGTTCACTAAACCTGCTCCCCTAGCCTGTAGTTCTGCCTCTTCATATCTAAATCCTGGGAGGACAACGACAAGAGCGTCCTGTTCTAAAGCCAGTCCCCTTATCCTGAACCTTAGCGTTTGCTTTTCCATACCTAGAACTAGCCACACCTCATATTTCCTGACCCTTTCTAGGGGTCAATAGGCCATCCCCTAATAGACTAAATAGTCAGTAGACTGAACACTTTCTCTGTATTGAGCAGCATTATCCAATCTCAATGTGGCGAGAGGGGGAAAAAGATAGTGGAGAAGAGAAAGAGCACTTGGGTTTTAGTTTCTTTCATTTCTAAGATGTGATAGTTGTACAAGTTATTCTCTAAGGTTTTCCAGGTCAAAATTTTATTATAATGTGATTCGGGACAGAGTTGTGGCCTGTGGGAATCTCATGCTGCAGAAAATGAGTGCTGATATAATAGACATCAAAAATTAAGCCACCGTTTCCCAACCTGAAGGTAATAGTGCCTTGGGAAATCATGGGGTTATTATAAGGAGCTTGCAAATCCACTAGTTCAGCTCTTACTATCTACAGACTAAATATACATCTCCCATCTTTATGTACTGTATTTGAATATATTTTGAACATGTGTAAGTTAATAATGTCAATTTATTTTATTTTATTTTATTATTTTTTTTTTTTAAAAAAGATGACCGGTAAGGGGATCTTAACCCTTGACTTGGTGTTGTCAGCACCACGCTCAGCCAGTGAGCAAACCGGCCATCCCTATGTGGGATCTGAACCCGGGGCCTTGGTGTTATCAGCACCGCACTCTCCCGAGTGAGCCACGGGCCGGCCCTAATGTCAATTTATTTTAAAGTATTATTGAATGTATAGCAATTGTTATATGTTTTCTCAATCAGTGGATGTTATACTGGTCTCATGGGGCTCCATGAAAGCTTTAGATCCTAAAAAGAGATCCACATAATCTAAAAGTTTGGAATTTCTGTTCTGAGCAATTTTGACATGGGAGAAGAGGTGGAAGAATTCACAACTTAATGCATCGTATACTTATTAGGTACTGTATATTAAAGAGACAATTCATGGAGCGGGAGAGAAATTATCAACAAAGATTAAGCTTTTTCTGTATGTAAAGCACTGTAAAGTCTCCCCTTCATCCCTTGTTCCCTTCCTCAGAGGCTGCCACTGTCAACATTTCCTTGCATATATTCCAGAAAAACACATATGTGTCCATGTGCATATATATGTGTATTCATATATGTATGTATATAAATGTATATGTATATATGTAATTATGTATATTTAAAATGTGCTATTTTTATAATGCCCTTATCCTCTAGAAATCTTTGTAAGAATATTGATATGTTTGCTTTTAATTCTTATGTTGTAGTAAAAGTTTGTCAGAAAATGTTTTTCTTAAGAATGGAAAATAAAAATTCACTATTCAGATCTTATCTCTGCAGCTGACAGGGACATTTTTTTCAGGGTGAAGAAGGGGAATACAGTGAAGAGGAAAACTCCAAAGTGGAGCTGAAATCGGAAGGTAATGATGCTGCTAATTCTTCAGCAAAGGAAGAGAAGGGAGAAGAAAAGCCTGACACCAAAGGCACTGTGACTGGAGAGAGGCAAAGTGGGGATGGACAGGTCAGTACACACCACAGTCCTCCATTTGGGAACTGGAATAGGGGATCATAGCCTTGGAGGAGTAAGGATCCCTTTATCTGTCCTTCAGGAGAGCACAGAGCCTGTGGAGAACAAAGTGGGTAAAAAGGGCCCTAAGCATTTGGATGATGATGAAGATCGGAAGAATCCAGCATACATACCCCGGAAAGGGCTCTTCTTTGAGCATGATCTTCGAGGGCAAACCCAGGAGGAAGAAGTCAGGTAACAGCCACTTGCTGATGCTGCTATCTAGTATGTATTTAGTGCTTACTGTATGCCAGGCACTTTGCTGAGTGCTTTACCTGTATTATTTCATTTACTACTCACAAGATTTAAGGTAAGTAGTATGATTATCCCTGTACAAATGAGGAAAGTGAGGCTTAGAATATTTGGTAATTCTTGGTGGTGAAGCTGAGATTCAGACCCAGGGCCGTCTGTCGCAAAAACTCATCTTCTCCTAATCATCAATACTTTTGCTTTCTTTAATCTGAGGCCCAAGTACTTTTATAGGCTGGCTGCCTTTTGGGAGAGAAGAGATGTTTCAAAGGTGCTGAGTGGCTTGTTGTGAAACATTTTCTCATTTCTGTTCCTATGTGTTTGAGCCCATCAGTCCCTGAGGTGCTGTGATTATTCTTGCTTTCTGGAGGCCAATTTTGTATCATCTGTCTGGGAAGGTGGAGAGACTACATGAACTTCCTACTGTCTCCCTGCCTGACCCTATTTGTTTCATGAACATCTCTACTTGGCAGATTCTGCCAACCTAAAACACTTTTTCTTGGTTTTGTCCAGACCCAAGGGGCGTCAACGAAAGCTATGGAAGGATGAGGGTCGCTGGGAGCATGACAAGTTCCGGGAAGATGAACAGGCCCCAAAGTCCCGACAAGAGCTCATTGCTTTTTATGGCTATGACATCCGCTCAGCTCACAATCCTGATGACATCAAGCCTCGAAGAATCCGGAAACCCCGGTGAGGAAATTTTGGAATCTAGATTACTGATATTTTTAGAAAGAACTCCCCTGCTTTTCTAAATCCCTTTCCATCCAGTAAGTGCATAGGTGAGGAATATGGGAAGTCTCTCTGACTCTCAGTTTATATCTCTAGCCGTCCCTGTTGTTACTTTTTCTTAACAGTTTTTCCATTCTTTTTTTTAAAGGTTTGGGAGTCCTCCACAAAGAGATCCTAATTGGATTGGTGAACGGCCAAACAAGTCCCATCGCCACCAGGGTCTCGGGGGTACCCTGCCACCAAGGACATTTATTAACAGGAATGCTGCAGGTACTGGCCGCATGTCTGCACCCAGGAATTACTCTCGATCAGGGTGCTTCAAGGAAGGTCGTGCTGGTTTTAGGCCTGTGGAGGCTGGTGGGCAGCATGGCGGTTGGCCCAGTGAGACTGCTAAGCATGAGACTAGTTACCGGTCACGGCACCTGGAGTATACCCCTGTGAGGGATCCATCTCCAGAAGCAGATGCACCAGTGCTTGGCAGTCCTGAGAAGGAAGAGGCAGCCTCAGAGACACCAGCTGTGGCTCCTGACACTGCACCACCAGCCCCTGACAGGCCAATTGAGAAGAAATCCTATTCCCGGGCAAGAAGAACCCGAACCAAAGTTGGAGATGCAGTCAAGGTTGCAGAGGAGGTACCCCCTCCACCCGAAGGGCTGACCTCAGCACCTCCAGTCGCAGAAACTGCCCCTCCTCCACCGACTAAGACTGGGAACTGGGAGACTACAGTGGATTCTACTGCAAGTGGACTTGAGCAAGACGTAGCACAACTAAATATAGCAGAACAGAATTGGAGTCCGGGGCAGCCTTCATTCCTGCAACCACGGGAGCTTCGGGGTAGGTATTTAAGGGTTGGTGGCTACCTTCCCTTTTTTCCCTTTGCATCATTGGGTTTAGGGACATGAGACTTATGTCTCTCAGAAATGTGTCTGACAAATATCCATCTTTCCTTTAACTGAGAGGAAAAAGATGGATTCATAGGAACATTCTTCTAGTCCTCAGAGCAGTTTTAAGTTACCCAAGACTATCCCACAACTTTGGCTACTTCTAACTGAGTCGTCATTATTGAGCTCCTGAGTACAGAATTCTTTTCCACTCTCTGTAGAAAAAGTGGAAGAAGAAGGCAATGTTACTATTTGAGCTAATGGTTAAATGTTTGAAGCCAAAAACATTCATTTGGATCCGGATCTTCTCTAATCTCTTTGAAAGGAGAGACTCACCAGTTTCCTTAATCTTCTAGAGACAGATTGACCAATAGAACTTTCTGTAATAATGGTGTTTTGAATACTTCTTTTTTTTTAAAAGATGATCGGTAAGGGGATGTCAACCCTTGGCTTGGTGTTGTCAGCACCACGCTCAGCCAGTGAGCCAACTGGCCATCCCTATATAGGATCCGAACCCGTGGCCTTGGTGTTATCAGCACCACACTCTACTGAGTGAGCCACGGGCCGGCCTAGGTGTTTTGAATACTTCTAATGTGGCCAGAGTGAGGAATTGAACTTTTAATTAATTGAAATGGGGTGGGGGGGTAGGTGGCTGGTACAGGGACCGAACCCTGGGCCTTGGTGTTAACAGCACCATGCTCTAACCAACTGAGCTAATTGGCCAACCCTAATTAATTGAAATTTAAATAGCCACATGTGGCTAGTGGATATCACATTGGACAGCATAGTTCTATATAGTAGAATCCATCTTTTGTCCCTTTGGCCCATTCTGCCTTGTCTTCCTCCAACAGAAATATTGAGGGATCTTTTCCTTAGTTTCTGAAATCTGACTTAAAGATCGGAAATCCTCATTTGGACTGGGAGTTTCAGCACCCTTCTCAGGTGTGGGTGATTTCTGAACATGAAAAACCAGTGTAGCCTAAACGGGACCTAGAGTTGATCTCTGGACAGAGGAGTACACCATCCTACTGATATCTTATTTCCATTGGACCATAATCTCTAGAACATTCCTTTTTGTCATTTTTCAGCCAAAGGGAACCTCTTTCCAAACTTCCAGCCCAGACCTCTGTGACTAGGACATAATCAAGTAGATTTACAGGACATCCCTTCCATGTCCAATTGTTGCTCAGAAACTTTTTTTTTTTTTTTTGTCTTTTTCCGTGTCCGGCAACGGATCGCAACCCTCAGTGTTGCCCCCGTACCGGACCGGGACCGGCAACGGGATCGCAACCCTCGGTGTTGCTCTCGCGCCTCGCTCAGCCAGTGAGCGGGAACCGGTCTGTATGTGGGATCCGAACCCTTGACGGGAGCGCGGCCGCACTTCCCAAGCGGCGCACTATAGCAGTGCGCCACCGGGCCGGCCCATGCTCAGAAACTTTTGGGCTGAGGTTTTTCAGTATATTTGATAATATAATGTGCTAATTATAACCTACCAGGGTTCTGTGTAGGAAAGTATATGATAGGAAAATTTTGAAATTGAGTTTCCTCACTGAAGTCATTTTTTTTTTTTTTTTAATGTTCAAGGACTTTATGGCATGGTGCGTTAAGATAGCAAGCAGTGGGGACAAATTTCCAAATGCTGGTGTTGACAGGAAGTAGAGATGGTTTAAAAGGAATTTTGTGGGCTGGCCGGTTAGCTCAGTTGGTTAGAGCATGGTGTTGGTAACATCAAAGTCAAGGGTTTGGATCCTCATACTGACTGGCCAGCTTAAAAAAATTTTTTTTAAATAAGAGAGTCATTCTGCATGTTGATTCTTTAACCTGTCATTTTTTTGATGGCATCTTTGAGTCCTACTCACATATGTCTGCTTTGCATCAGTGACTTTTTTGCTGTATTACAGGTATGCCTAACCACATACACATGGGAGCAGGACCTCCACCTCAATTTAACCGGATGGAAGAAATGGTACAAAAAGTGGGAAAGGGGTAGAGGGGGGAGGGGGCTATATTATACAGCTTGTTTACTGTTTAAACCAAGATAAGGTCTTGAGGTTATTTTTCCCATTGGTTACCCATGTTTCTTTTAATTTGGATCTCAGAAGTGTAGGCTAGAAGGTTTAGGTTCAAATCTTGATATTTACCATGATTTTTTCAATTCTTTTTGCAAATACTTATTAAATACCTGCCATGTACCAAGTGTTTTGCAACACCTAAAGGAGGGTAAGCCTTGATATGAGAGTCAGCCCTCTGGAAGTCTTCTTGTTCAGACCTCTCTCTATCTCAGGGTGTCCAGGGTGGTCGAGCCAAACGCTATTCATCTCAGCGGCAGAGACCTGTGCCAGAGCCCCCCACCCCACCTGTGCATATCAGTATCATGGAGGGACATTACTATGATCCATGTGAGTGTTTTCTTATTATTGGGGTATCTTTCTTGGCAGGGTGAAGCGAACTAAGATACCAGTCTTCTGCTTCCTGCATTTCCCTTCTGACCTTTCACAGTGGTTATCAAACATTGGTTGCTGTTTTCTTCACATGAAAAATTGAACATCTTTTAAACGGTTTGGGGGACAAGGAGACTTGTCCATGTGATATGAAGAGTGAGGGTTTATGAGAGTCCCAATGTGATATCTTACAGTGCAGTTCCAGGGACCAATCTATACCCATGGTGACAGCCCTGCCCCACTGCCTCCACAGGGCATGATTGTGCAGCCAGAAATGCACCTTCCCCACCCAGGTAAGCTTTACACCTCTGCTTGTATGTTTCCAGTATGTGAGGATGTGTTGGGGGCTCCACAAACCCCATCTTCCTGAGCTCTGTGCTGCTAGCCTGTGAGGCTGGCCATTCCGGCTGCTTGAGCAGCAAACTCCTTCTTGGGTTCATCATGAGGACTTCCATCCTGAGCCTGTTTGTGCTGAGCAGTCCAGCCAGGCCACCCCATGAGAATGGTGTTTTCTTTTTTCAATTTGTGTTTCCTCTTCTTGTCCAGGTTTACATCCCCATCAGACACCAGCGCCTCTGCCCAATCCAGGCCTCTATCCCCCACCAGTGTCCATGTCTCCAGGACAGCCACCACCTCAGCAGTTGCTTGCTCCTGCATACTTTTCTGCTCCAGGCGTCATGAACTTTGGTAATCCCAGTTACCCTTATGCTCCAGGGGCACTGCCTCCCCCACCACCTCCTCATCTGTATCCTAATACACAGGTGAGATGGCTAATGAGCAAATTTTTCTAAGTACACATCTTTAAGTCAGATATGAATGTGGTGGTATGGGGAGAATGCTAAAGCAATTTGAGAGAACATTTCAAAGCCACTTATTTGCATGTGGCACCAGGATGCCTCTTGGTGGTCAGAAGCTGGAAATGCAGCTTATGTAATGCCTATTATCATCTTTATTCTGTTCAGTTTCTTTGATGGTGTTTCATTTGAGTGTTTTGTTATATCATAGGTGGCGATATCTGCTATTTATTCAACTGTATAAAGAAAGTGTATTCTGCTCTTTACTAGCCCCGCCCCTGTCCAGCTTAACTCCCAACAGGTTGATACCATCTAGTATCAGGAATGTCACCACTGAGCTCAGCCTTTTCCATTTGTCAGTGGATGGTAGGAATTAGAGACAGCTGGGCAGTGCTTTGAAGAAATAGGAACTAAAGCATAATAATGACATATGAAAGCAGAAATGAATAGTCACTTTATTTTGAAGGGAGGCAGCTTAGAGATTTAAAAAATTATAAGTTCCCTAATATAATACTTATTTTTGTGGCTGAATAATGTTTCCTGTTCATCATAGGCTGGATGAATTAATTCCATCTTTTTCTTCTCCTGGCTTGTGGGGTCCCAGGCCCCATCGCAGGTATATGGAGGAGTGACCTACTATAACCCTGCCCAGCAGCAAGTGCAGCCAAAGCCCTCCCCACCCCGGAGGACTCCTCAGCCAGTCACTATCAAGCCCCCTCCACCTGAGGTACGAGAGCTCCTTCCCATACTTAAGGCACATGCTGCATCAGTGGGCTTTCCTTTTCCCCAGAGGATTTCCCTCCTTTTCTGGGTGTGTTTCTGTGGCTTTATTGTATGACCTGATAACAACTTCCAACTTTATTATTTCAGGTTGTAAGCAGGGGTTCCAGTTAATATGAGTTTCTGAATATTTTAAATGTAACATCATATAAAAGTAAGTGCACAACTTACTGTGACTTCTGTTCTTAAAACTAATGCTCATGCTTACTTGCTTAACAAATAGTGTCCTAATTAATGCTTTAAGTTATATCTCAGGGGAGGCTTAAAGGAGTCCCAAAATTTTCTAGTTTCTTTGCTTTGCAAATGCATTGGGCAGGGTTGAAGTAGAAACCATTGTTAACATGACAATTTCAATTGGGAAGCTGCAAAGAAAAAATACAGGAGGGCAGTCAAAAGTTGATCAAGGAAAGGGGAAATCTAAATTTGAGGTGTTACAAAGAGCCAATTCTAAAGATCATACAGGAGATACACTGGATTTTTTTGTTGCTTTTGTTTTGTTTAAGGACGTTATTTTGCGTTTTTCTCTGACATATAAAGAGCTTAGATAAGGACCTTACTTTAAAACACATTATTTAGAAATGTGGGTTTTTGAAACAGCTTGTAAATGCCTAGAAGGTCCACTAACACTTTGATGGTTCTTCCTTTTTTTTCAACCCCTGTCAGAACAGCAGATGTGAGAACTCAGGAGAGAAGAGAAATACAACTGGCTATCTACTACCAGGAAGGCTTCAAAGATACAGGGTGGCTTCTACTAGCAAGCAGCTGAAGGAGGAGGACCCCTACCTTCCTCTGAGGACAGGCTCTGTTGGAGAGGGAGAAACAGGTGGACTTCCTCCCACCTCTACTCTTTGCTTGAGTTTTCTGTGCTCAGGGGAGCAGAGATCCAGACAGCCCAGGCTTCTGCATCTAGATCCAGAAGTCCATGTTTTTTTTTCCACTTTCTCTTGGGAAATTCAAGTGTCTTCTGCTCCAGGGAAGCTCCTTCCTGTTTGTTTTGTTTCCTAAGATGTTCATTTTTAGAGCCTGGTTCGCTATTCTTAAATTAATATTTTATTAGTTTTCTCTCTGTTTCTTGCTCTCTCTGCCTTTCTTCTGGTTTGCTGGCCTCTCTGGCTTCCCTTTTGACTCTTCCCTGCATCCCAGGTAATTGAGAATGTATCGGCCACCCTTCCCCAACCAAGTCTAAAAAGACCTAGTCTCTCAGTTTTTGTTGGTTTTTGTTATTCTCTTGTATACTTGGATTCTCTTAACTCCTCTACCCCGTGGAAGCATAGCTGTCTGTACAGTGTCCCATTGTGGAGAAAAGCTCAGAGTGGGTGGATAGGAGCCCTTCTTTTTGACTAAGGATTTTAGGAGTCTGAGCTTCCATCAGTACCTGTACTACAGTGGGTTTCAGTCCTCTGCTGAGGGCAAAGTCTGTGCTGTGGAGAGAGAGAGCAAGCCAGATGCTTTTGTGAAAGAGGGAGGGTGAAGTGAGAGCCTTTGCACCTTAGGGGTATGTATTTTTCACAGTCCTCAGGGCTCAGTCTTTGAAATAAGTGGAATTAGAGGGCCCTGCTTCTCTTCTTTCCATCCCTCCTACCACACTCCCTTTCTAGTTGCTGTGGACCATTGTATCTCTCTAGAGGCAAGTATCCAGCCGGCAGTCTACCCTGTCCTTTGTAATTGCTTTTCTCCATGTCTTTCCTGCTACAGTGTTTTGGATGTTACTACTTTCTTTTCCCCAAATTCTACTCCTGTCCTTGCAAACAGAAGATACCACACTTGGGCCTAAGGCCTAAGGAAGCCAGTCACCTTCTGGACAAGGGCTCTTCCCTCCTTTCCTCCTTATCCATGGCACTAAACCACTCCCCTGCTCCCTCTGCAGAAGAGATTCCTGTTACTGCAGCACTTGTGTCTGCCGGGCATAACTTGGCCACTGTCCCTGTCCTATAGAACCTGAGGGAGAAGGTGGTGGCTGTGTCTTTCCCCCGGTAATATCACTGTTTTTATTCCTTCCCTCTGGCAGCTGCCCTAACCACTCTGAGTCACAGGTGTGTGGGGTGGGTGGGGAGGGGAGAGCGGCACTTAAGCTGTAACCCCCAAGGAGGAAATAACCTAGAGATTCTTCCAGGGGTAGCTGGTGGTTGTGCCTTTTGTAGGCTGTTCCCTTTGCCTTAAACCTGAAGATGTCTCCTCAAGCCTGTGGGCAGCATGCCCAGATTCCCAGACCTTAAGACACTGTGACAGTTGTCTGTATTGGTCCACTGTGTTTAGTTGCAAGGATTTCTCCATGTGTGGTGTTTTGTTTTTTTGTTACTGTTTTAAAGGTGCACATTTGTGATCAGCATTGTGACTTGGAAGTAATAAAATTTAGACTATGAATTCGGCTCTCTTGTCATTGTTTTTCATGAGTCTTGATATGGAAGGGAGAGAAGAGGACTCCCTAATTCCCACAGAGTCACAGTCACAACTCGAGCCTGCTCAGACCTCACCAGAGAGGTGAGCCCCTGTGAAGCCATAAGTGTGCCTGCACCCCATCAGTTATCTTAACCACACTGCCACATAGACACCAGTGACAGAAAAACTAGTGAGATGCTGCTTATCCACAAGAATGTCTAATATTCCTTATACCTTCCTTTGCATTTGGCAAGTAAGTTTCCCAAGGTAAATGCTCCACCAAATGTCAAAATAACTGTTCCAGGTCCTTGACAATAGGGAGGTGCAGATAGCTATCTTGAAAAGCAAAGATGTTGGCACTAAAGTATTATGGGCCACAGTCTAAAGGGAGAGGCTCCTATCAATGTTAGTACAGGTAAGGGGAAGGGAAATTAAAAGACCATCAATTGCAGTTCATGCTGCTGTTCACCTAAGCCACTGGGACCCTGGTGCTTACAGGGCACCTTCCTACTTTGAATTGACGCGTTTCCTTCAGGTCCTGGGAGGGATGGAAGTTTACTACAGAGGCTATCCTTGGTATGGGAGCGCAATTGAATTTGATGGGCTGGCAGTATTTTTCTTGGGTTCCACAAATCCATACACTGGGGCATGGGCATCATGGTGCATCTTAAAATGAGAGATGGGACTTGGCCTACACCTTTTCGTGCTGCTGCAACAACCGAAGGACCATGACTTTCCTGACCCCCCATCCCTAACTCTTCTTTAAATCACGTCAGTTTGCTTCCTTTCTCCCCTACAGGGTTATGGGTAACTATAGGCCTGGTCTCCTGGGGTCATGCAAAGAATGGCAACCAGTCTTGGAGGTGGTTATTAGTAGGGGGAAGGAGAGTGTTAAGATGCTTCCCCCTCACCCCTGCATCTTCCCCAGTCCTGCAGCTAGATCCCATTGCTCTCTGTTGCCCTGGTAACCAGCTCAGCAAGAAGAAACTCCAGCTCAGCAAAGCCGCCAGGTTCTCTCTGCCCTCCAACCTGCCTCAGTGGGCAGAAAGAAGGGGAGTGTAAGAGTTGGACAGATCAGACTTTGGTAGCCCTGCCCAATCGCCTTCTAGAAGACCGTGGGCTGGGCTCTGTTTAAAGCTTTTTGGCCCCCATTTCTTCATAGTTATTCATACCACCCTGCTTTCCTCTATTTCTTCCGTGATAGAGTGCAGATGCCCTGCCACCCCTCCTCCCCCTTGGGGTCAGCACACAGGTCTGGTACCTTGTTGGTGACTCAGAACAGCAAGGACTTGAAATCCTAAAGACATCTCCCAGCATCTGCAGCCCACTTGAGTTGTCCTGTAGGGCAGTGATTTTTCAACCCTGAGTCATCTGGAGAGCTTTTCAAAAATACCGTGAGGGCTGGCCGGTTAGATCAGTTGGTTAGAATGAAGCCTTATAACACCAAGTTCATGGGTTCAGATCCCTGTACCTGCCAGCTGCCAAAAAAAAAAAAAAAAAAAATACTGTAAGCCTTGGCCCCACCTCAGAGCCTTAGGTCTGATTTAATTGGCCAGGGCATCAGTATCCTGAAAAGCTTCCCTGTGATTCCAGTGTGCAGTTGATGAAAACCACGCTGTTCAAGGAGAACCATGACCTGATGCGGTCTTTTCTCCCTGATTCAAGGTCTTGCACTTTGTCTCTGCTGCCTGATATTCTTGAGTAGTTGGAGGGGTGCTGGGGTCTTGTGCCCCAAACTTCTAGTTTCCAGAAGTCCCCCAACCTCTTATTTCCAGCCTCCACACCCTCCACGCTCCCCAATTCTTCACCCTTCCTAACCAACAATCCCAAATCCTGCCCAGAGAGGAAGTTACCAAGGCAACCAGCTTAATCTGGTAACTGTGGCATGTGCTGGGAGAGAAGCCTTCCCCTCTTCCTATTCAGTTCATAAAATGCCACCTGGGGAGCTCCAAGCTACTCCAGCCAGTTTCTCCTTTCAACCCTGGGGGTATTGGGATGTCCAAGAAAGGGAGTCAGGAAGCTAATACTCAAACCTCAAATCCAGCTTCTCCGCCAAAATTGTGCTCTCTCTTCTTTTTACTGTTCCTGCTCCAAATCCACAAACAGATGGGTGTGCAAAGCTTTATTTGTGTGAACACATGCTCTAGCACACATGGAACCAGATATACACATACAGAGATGTGTATAGTACACGCCCTGTTCAATTCTACCACCACTCCCAGCCATTAGCATTCCTGTCCCTGCCTAGTGGGTGCACAGTAAATGGGTGGGGCATCGTCCAAGGAGCCTTACCCCCATCTGGACCCTGTTACTACTCCCCCACCTTGTAAGCCTAACCTGGATATTCTCTCACTGAGCACGTCTCTGTATCCTCCTCCTTCTGGAGCAGTGTACCCTTAGGGACAGAATAGAATGCTCCTGACATGAACATCAGGAGTAAGGATTATTTGGAGTGCTCATTTGACACCATTTTCCCCACTGCATGGCTACGTACACTCTAGGCTTCCTATGCTTGATGATGCTAGTTTGCAGTTCTGGGACTTGTCACCCATTTCCATGGCCCTGCTTCCTTCTGCTGCCAGCTGGGCTCAGGTGTCCTCATGCTCCTGGTCTCCTCCCCCCCGCCTACTATCTCTTCTCTTTACTCCAACTAGACCTGCCACAACCTGCTGCTCCCTGCCTGTCTCCTACCTGCCTGCCAGTACCTGCCTTACAGGCCAGGCCTGCACCACCTCTTGTGCCCTACCAGAGAGGGCAGATGGGCACCGCCCCCACTGCCAATGCCAATCCACCCAAGAGGCCTTTCCAGCCCTCCTCCTAGAAGGAAGGCAAAGTCCACATATTTCTGTGAGTATGGCAAAGGTGCACACTCGGGGGTCAGCAATATTTGTAGCTTTCGCTGGGTACAGGTAGGTGAGTCAAGATGTGTAAGCCACAGATCTGCCCTGGCTCTTTGAAACGATGCTAAGAGACCCAGTAATCCCTCGAGATCCAGAGATCCTCTTCCATTGATAAATCACCCCCTCACCTTAGCTCTTTACACCTGCATATGCTCTGAACCCAAACTCCTTACCATTTCCCTCGGGTCAGCCCCAGCGCCCTATTTCGAGCCTCGTGCGGCCCCAGGGGCGGGTCCAGGAAGGGCAGAGGCGGGGCCTGGGCGGGGATTGGAGGAGGGGGCGCGGTCTCAGTTCTGCCACCTTCCCTCGGGCCAGGAGCGC